TGACTTTATTCTCCCTTTTCCACAAAACCCCCAGTAATTCTAGTCTATGTTTGTGCAGCTGAATATCCCGGAACTTCACATATACCGTACCTTATTTATGTAACACACCTTATTTTATTGTGTGTCATTTTTCCAAGTTGTCAAGATAATTTTAAATTTTAAACTACTTCTCCAGGATGTCTGCAGAGCCCCACACAAACCAGAGCATCTTAATGAAGGCATGAAGTAATATCAAATGCAGGTAGACCTCTTCAGAGCCTTACTGGACATAACCTTGCATTTTCATAACAAACCACTGTCAGCCACTCCGTGGTTATCCAAAGAAAGATGGATCTGTCATTTACCAGGTTTTTTCCTAGACCTGTTCCACTAGCTTGTTTGAAAAAAAAGTATTGCGTATCTGTTACTTAAGTGATTAATTTACTACTATTATTGTTGATGAGCTTTATGAGATATGATCACAAATAAACACCTATTTGCAGAGATTTTGAGTCTGATGCTGAGGGTTACCCATGCCCAGTCAAGCTTTCCAAATTATATGTCTCTGATAATGGCAACTCAAATTGTCCAGTACTCTGAGCTCTTAATTTCATTGTGACAATTGAGTTCTATCTGTTTAAAACACGGTATCTATTTTAGTGTCTAAAACCAGTATGTATTTAATCTACACAACACCAACATCAGAACAGGACTAATTTTAGCATTAGAATGAAGAATTAAATTAAATAATCTTACAGCCAAGACACAGGACGGATTTACAAGACAGTAATTAAACTCCTGCCTTTTAGGCAAGTTACAAAAGTTACAATTTGGACCAAAACCAAATGAACAGAATGATGCAAAGACCAGTTCCTAGACTAGATTACCACAATGAGCTGATGTAACATGGCAACTACCAATTCTACTTGCATGCGAGACACTGAAATATCACTGAACAGGAAGCTCACTGATATAATGCCAGGCTGAAGCTGTCCTGGCATATTTTCAGGTCGTTCACAAAGATCCTTAACATAATAGCTAGAAGCCTTTTTCAAACATTGCAACAGAAGAAACTAAAGAGCTTCTCTCTGCAAATGGAGAGAAGAAGATTCTGCAAATCAAAGCTTCTAGTCTACAGGGGTTGTTGTCACTCATTGATAGATTAAAAACAGCCACATAAAAAAGGTCTTTCAAACTTTTTGCTACAGGAATTTTTAAATAGACATTGGAAAGGTGGAATTGTTCCTTCTCCCATGTATTTTTAGAGAGTTATCAGAGTAGAAAAATCACATAAAAACCCTAATGCAATCTTCCACCACAAATTAGTAATTTATTGGTACTTAAAATAACTACAAGATCTCTTGGGAAAAAAACTTTTATAGTGCAAATTGTAGTGGGGGCAGTTAAAATGACTATCTGAAAATTTCTTACATTTATAATAACTAAATGAAGATAAAAAACATTTATAGGTGAAGAATACCTGTTAATAAGGCAAATCTCAAAGATGACCACTCAACTAAGCTTGATTTATGGGGCTTGAGTTTTCAAATACTGTTCAAACCTGCATTTCCAACGATTTGAGATGCCTTCTAAAGCTCAACATGTATTTTAAAATAATTATTTATAAAGCATGTTTTGAGAAAGAATATTTTCTCAAAAAAAAGGAAAAACTCTAAACAGAACAAACCATGTAATTTAAATGAGGATATGCTTTGGATTGTATTTAAGCAAGTTTGAGGGAGAAAAACAATTTATCTGCACTGTTTCCCTCATCATAATATCAAGGAATAAAACAATCAACCATATGTTAACACTGAAAAATTGTTAGGTCCCCTCCTTTGAAACTGTAGTTTATTAATTTGTTATTTAGAAACAGATTTCCTAAAATTTTAATCCTTTGCAAATCACACGCAGTACTCGGAGAAATCTCAGCAATACTTATGAAACCAATCCAATACATAAAGGAAGAAGTTAGAAAACCATAAAAACAAAATTTAGAAGCAGCTGAAAAAGTTTCAAGGAAAGAAATTTGTCAGAATCATGAATCAGTGTTGATTCATGAAATATTTTCCATTTTCTTGGTTTGGGCTTCTATGAAATAGTTCATAGGCTCCAACTGAATTCACCTCTGTTTCCTGGCAGGCTCCTGGAGGTATTGGAGCTGGAAATCTGCTTTCAAATGCAGCTAGTGTAACTAGGACACAATTCCCATCTCTCAAGCAGGAGGTCTGAAAACCCCAGGGATCCTGGGGATAGACACCTGCAAAGGGACACAGAAAGAGCACCAAAGCACAGAGCAACTGGAAAGGCTCCCAAGGGGCAGACTTCATTTCAGAAACTCCATGGGTCACTGTTTGAAAAATAAACAACATAAAAACAAGATGAGGGAAGTGTGGAAAAAATGAAGAAGAACTAGGACAGCTGGTGGCAATTCTGGCTTAAAGAACAAACTTCATTTTTTTCTAAATATTCTAATTCAGTATTGGAATGGAAACATGGGGCCAGAATGCAGAGTCCCTCATTTATGCAATACAATTACTGATGCCAATAATATTTTGCCAGCTAGATACAAGTGAGCTTGTTTCTTTGACACGTTTTGTCCTGTGTTTTCTTTTAAAAGGACATTCCTCACAGGGAGAGAAAACTTTAGCCCAACCCTTCCTGCTTAGTTATAAGTAATAAGTTAATAAATAAGTTATATAGTTATATAGTGTTTTTTATATATATATAGTTACATAGTTATATATAACTAATAAGCAGTACAGCTATGTGCTGGATGTAACTTTATTCTGAAGTCTGTGTCACATAAGATGTGCATACAGCAGTGTTCATGGAGAAAAGCAAACTCGTTTCCTTGCAGAAGAGTGATTTATTCTTTTTTTTTTCAGTAGCTGTTTACATCTGTTGTTGTTGTTGTGGGGTGGTGCCTAAATACAAAATCTTAAATATCTGATTGATGAAAACACTCTAGAGTAGTAGCATAACTCAATACTATGCATTTAAAGCAATAGAAGGCCTGATACACTGAAGCATTATACAGAAGACATGAGATGATTTTTAAATTCTTGTATAGCACCAGTTATTGTCATAGAATAAACATAATATTTTCTAGATGCAGTAGTTTCTTTAAATCCTGATAAAAACTGTAAGAAATATATGAGCTAATTATCACGAGTGCAAAATAGAAATGATAAGTGATTATCATGAGTGCAAAATATAAATGATAAGTAAACCTACAAAAGCAATTTCAACAGTCTGACTGGCAACTATATAAAATAAACTTACTAAGATCATGCAATTAGCAAGTTTTGTGGAGTTCTTTAAATTAGTAACTTAAAATTTTACTGTCTTTCAAATGCAAGGCGTGGCTTTAAGTGAATGGTAATTTTTAATTGAGAAAAAACAACTACTAATAAAACAATTATTTAAAATAAATGCATATAGATCAAATATGTGAAATGTATGTCTGAACATAAGGTTATAATTAACATTCTTAAATGACTATTATATAAAGATAGGAGGTAAAGATTAAATGTTTTCACATTTGGCAATTTTTAGAGAAATAGCAACACGTTTTAACTCCTTAAGGGTAAATCAGAATACTACAATTAATTACATGCTAAACCTACATATGGTAAATAACAAAATAAATCATCTTAAAAGTAGAACAAATGTAAGAAAATCCTGTTGAGGACTGAGTTCTCCATTGTTTAAACCAATAAGAGCACAAGAGTTATTATTAATATATTAGTATGAAAAAGTAACTGAGGTATTTAATGGAGAGTACCTTGTTTTTGCTGAGAAAGACGAGAAGTGGGTGGCCTGTGATGTACATATTGCTGTTATTGACGAGAGAAAAGGAGAAGCTTTCCTCTTAAACATTGAAAAAACTACAACTTAACATGTGCACATGCATTTCTGTCAAATACAATAGTACAATTTGCAAAATGCTAGAGATGTGCACATTCCCATTTCTTACATCACTAAAACAAGCCAAGACAGTCAGTTCACATCTGCTCTTCACATCTCTCAAAATATTTTCGTTTTTTTAAACACAGTTCTAGCAAATCACCTTCAGGACAGAGCTCATTTTAGCTGTTTCTTGCCCTTCCCCACTTCTCTTCCAATACTACCGTTGTTCCATCTGGTAGAAATACTTGTATTTGTAACTAATTTGTAGCCTTAACATTTTGGCCTTGCATAAACCTGGGTAGCTCAACAAAATTTCTAGCAATAGCATCGTATTTCATTGCTGTTTAGAAGGTCTTGGAAGTATAAGGTCTATCAATAGGTTAGCACCAAAGTTTTACAAGTTGCAGATCCAAATTTCACACAGTCATCGTCTATTTAATACTGCTGGAGCACTGCAATCTACAGAAGCAATCTCAGGAGCAAAAGCCGTAATCAAATGTGCACACATACAGATGTACACAAATTGGCAAAGTGATTCTTGTGCCAAATATAGGAAAAAAAGCAATTTCACATTTACTGTTTTCACAAGGCCATGAGGGCAGAAGCAGAGCAACAAATTGGTAATATTTAGACTCAGATCTTACTTTCATTTGGAAACAGTTAGTTCGATGACACTAAAACCAAAACAAAAAAAAGTTGCACCATGGCATTCCTCTCCTTCCTTAATACGCTTGAAGAAAAAGATGGCCAATTATTTAAGTCAATTGTAGCCTTCATAATACACAACATAAAAGCAAGATACACCAACAGTCAAAGGATAGCAGAGGATCTGTGTCCCTGAATTATATGCACACTGTGACAGACTACAAGTGTACCATATTTATATAAAAATATATTCAGCATTTAATGAACTATACTCTGAACTCTCCTAGGCCAACTTTGCAATGGAAGCTGTAATTTTAACTTATTTCCACAGTATTTTTTAATATTTTTTGGTGGGCTAATTATTTTTTTATGCTAAAGAACAGTGACAAAATTAATCATCCTTTTCATCTATACTCTCTCTTTACTTTTATCTTTATTTTTAGTCTTTTGATCTGTCATTCAGTTGCCAGGGATTAAAATCTCATTAGTCAGTATTTTATAATTCCGTGTTAAGAAATATAATCATTTCAACTTGAGATAGTATTTTAAGTCACTTCACTTAAGTATTTGCTTGGGAATTGGTCCAGGAGATGAAGTCAAGTTAATCCAGTTTTACAATCCACACTTAGAACAGAACAGATGAAATGTAAATAATTACTGAAATGTTGCCTTCATTCTGCGCAGTGTGTCCTGAATTTTTCGAGAATGTTTTTCTGCTGGTATCTGATGGAAGTTGGCACAGTTGTCAGCTGCCAAGGCAGAAATGTCTGCATCTTTAAAATGAGTTATTCTTTGTCTGAGGTAAGACTGCAGCTTGAAATCGGGTGTATATGTATAAGGATTCTCTTGAAATGCATGAACTTGGCTCACAACTTTTGCAATATTTCTTGGAAGAGAATATAGTAAAAGAGGTTAGTTTGCTTTACTGATGATAAAAAAAACAAACCCCCAAAACAAACTTTAAAGGAAATTCAAAGGCATTGAGCATTCCCTTCTATAGTATAACTCCCTTTAGTTAGATGTCAAAATGACTGAAACTATTTAAACTGCTAATTGTGAAATGTTGTGTTAGCTCTCACTACCCCATTAGACAATATTTCATTTTAAAAATTTAGGTGACATACGTACGTCATTAAAATAATTACCTAAGTTTAGTCCACTTGTGAGCTCCATTTGTCATTGTGAATCCTCCAGTTTCAAGTTGTTGGACATGCATAGCCAAAACATGGGCTGATGGAATTGTTGGAAGTGTTTTGAATCTTTCTCCTTCCATCAAGCACAAGCTGTCACTTTTTAAAAACACCTAGTTTAAAAATGCACACAGAAAATCTCACATTAAGTATTGGGGCAGATTTTACAAGAAGTTCTCCACTTCTGTGTTTAGTGCTATGTATTTATTTGCCATGCATTTTAACTTTTGGCATTGAAGTTGAAGACAACACTATGAATTAATCTAGTGGCAAACATTTCAAAGTACACAAATAAAGAAAGTAACTTTAATCAAAAGATACTTCATACATAATTTTACTTGTTCTAAATCATAGCCAAAATTACATTTTAGAACTTCACTCTATGATTCAAAATTGTATAGAGCAATAAGAGAATGCCTGTGATAAAATTTTAAAATTTAAGATTTTAAAATTTAAAATTTTTCAAAACAGATTGCAGCCACAAAGCTCCTGCAGAAATCACCAAAAAAAGCATATCCAATGTCCTAGCTTACTTTGAAATATCTTTCTTGAGTTTTCAGTCACACAGGATACATTTTTGAGAAACACTGAGATGAAAATTAATGTAAACTCTTAGATTAAGAGTCAAAAGTCTTAAATCAAATTAAAATCTCCTTCATAATACAAAGTAATAATTATGTCTTTCATCCTGCAGAGGTACCCATTTAAGCAGATCTTGCTTATTCTCCAACCCCAAAGAAGTATTTTTACGTTAAAAACTTTATACCATACCTCAACAGCCTTGAGTTCCTCCATTATTTCAGCTACTTTTGCAGGTAAAATTTTCCAGGCCTTACAATAAAACAAAATATATTTTTGTTTTTCACATTAATGCCCATATTGGAACAAGATTATGTTAAGCAAAATAGTTACAGAACAGAGTCCCAACTTACTGGTAACTGTCGTACAATAAGATTTTCCAAGCCTGCTAGGATTTGCATCGCAGTAGCAAAATTTCTTTGTTCATAGCAGCATTTTGCTATAAGAAGAAATTTTGATAACAAGCTCACCTGCAGCTGAAAAAAAAAAAATCAAGATATACTACATATTAAAATAATATATACTAAATATATACAGTAAATCTACATAATAAAATTAAATAAGAAGGAAGAAGATGACATGCATTTTCTTTTTGAATTTGTTATTAAAATTGTTGACTGTAGTAACATTTCCCTCCAACACAAAGTTTTCTCTTTTCTGTCACCAAAGCATCCTTGTTAAAGTCTGACATCTGTTATCCTCAGGCAACCCATTTCTTCCATTCTTAGTAGGTTTTGACACCTGCTGCTACAAAACACCCGAGATATCCAAGACCCTCCTTGTGACAACAAACAAAATTTTATTAATGGCCCATACACAAGTGTATTTCAGAATATTTCTTGCAGCTTTGCCATATGGCAACTCACATACAATAACAAATAAATAACCATTTCATAATTCATAATACAATACAAAAGAATGACGAACCTTAGACGTGTGACATGTTACAATTTCAGCAGCAACCCAGGTGCTGGTACTGTCTGCATTTCTTAATAATTGTAGAAGGTACTGGTCTTGTATGCACTTCGACAGAAATAGATTACAGACGTTAAGTGAAACTGTCTCAGTAGAAACAGCTCTATGGAGAAAATGGGAAAAAAAGGCAAAATAATTCATGCTGACTTTGGATTCTCAAAGAAAACCTTGATTGTGAAAATGCCAACTTTAACCATTTAAAATAGCTTTGCAGTGCTTGCAGTCTTGATTTTCGTAATCTTTTACGAAGTATATAGTGAGCTATGTTACTTTTTCTTCCGTATAAGTACAAGATAATTATATGTGATAATAAAATAAGTATATACAGTATACATTTCTGTACATAAAGACACCTTCACCACTTGTTACTGAACAAAACAAACCATCCAATCTGACACAAAATAACAGCCAGAAATCCAAACTCATAAAAAACTGCAGCCACATAAGAAATCGAGCCTGATACCTAGTGGCACCAGTTTGTTTCCCATGCCTGAACCCCCAAACCAATATAAACTAGCTGATTTAGCCTATGCCATTTAACAATCTGTAAAAGATGAGCTGCTTTAGATGTTCATTCCCTATCCTTAGACAGAAAAGTCTACTAGAGGTAGTGCAATTAAGTACTAATTAGAAGCTAGCTGAATCCACTGAGTATGTAAGTAGTAGACTGTAATCAAATATAATTAGGTCCACGTGGCTGGATGAAAACATTCATTACCATTGAGCAAGTAATTTAAATAGGTTGGTAACCACTCTAATAACTATAGGAAAATTCTTAGATATCTGTGGATACTCATACTTCATCTACCTAACAGTACAAAATGAACATTGCACAGAGAGGCTGTGGAGTCTTCATTCACATTTGGAATCCAGCTGCACACGATTCCAGGCAACCTGCTCTAGCTGACCTTGCTTAAGGCAGGGGAGCTGGACTACAAAATCTTGGGAGATCTCTTCCAACCTCAGCTATTCTGTGACACTGTGATGGTCGTTGAGATTTTATATACATACACACATGTATGATCAAGGAGACTGTTTCAGAAACCATGACTTTTTTTTTCCCACCAAAAATGAAACTTTTGAAGCAACTCCTCAACACAAGTCTTCAGAAATATTTTGACCTGACCCACTTCAGATTTCAAAGAAACCACCTTGCAAATGTGACCTACCACATATACATACATGCATAGGTACATACACATGTATAAAATCTCTTTAAATTAAAACAAGGGCATAAATGGACTAGTCTGTCAACAAGATATTAAGTATTTAAAATGTTCCTCTCTTCCTAAATGCATTAAAAGTGTAACACAGTAAGTTATTGTGCATCAACAGAATAGAAGGGCAGTTAAAACAAGCAACTTACTTTTGGACAGCAACACATTTGTCTTTAACACCAAGTGCTCTTGAATTTAGAAAGTGAACTGGATGACATTTATGAAATACTTCCTAAACAAAAACAGCAAGATATATCTGTTGTTAGATCTAACGGTTCTTTTAAAATGCTTGAGGATAAAAATGACAGAGGGTTCCCCTCCTCCCCTCTCTTCAGCAAATTTATCAGAGGGATCACAGCCTAAGAATAGAATTAGCCATTCTAAATTTTAGAGATTTCAAGAGAAAAGTGGATTATTTTAATTCAAAGTCTTATGAAATAGCATGAAATAAGCTTGAAACAGGGTTCAGAAATGGTATAGAAAGGAGGCTAAGTATAAAGTAAGAAGATAGGTATTATTTGTACTTCCAAGTAAACCTAGACCTTTGTACCTGTTGCAGTAACGTAAGCTGACAACAAAGCTGTTGCACACTGTATTCTATTAAGAGATATGGTCCCACTTCATCTGCTTTAGCAAAGGAGACTGGGAATTCTTCTGTAAAACTGTTATAGCATGGCTTTGGCAAAACTGATGAACTAGTGTACAGTTGCTCTCTCTGACACTGTGCAACTGGTCCCATACCTTTGGAAAGTTTCCAGTTAAAGTTCTGTAGAAAAAAAAAAGTATAAAGCTACAACTTCTTTAAGGCAAACATTACATCTCCCCTTGATGTAACTTTCTCGAATGTTTTGCTAGAGAAACACCTTTATGGATACAAAACTCTTCAGCTAATCTTCAAGGTTAGCCCAGACACTAATTGGTTTATTCAACATTGCTGTTTTAAGCTAATATGCACAGTCAATGAGTTTGAGCAGGAGGATGCCAGATCTCCATCAACAATTGGTATTTAAAACAAACTTCTGTGTATTCAAGATTGCTGTCATAAAATGGTTTATATTCTGAAGTTCTGTATTTTCTATTTTACTTCCTACTATTTCTTGTACTCTTTTTGCTTAGAATCACACATCCCTTTCCAAAGAAATATTTGGTTTTCCATTCTTTTTCCTTCTGCTGTCTTTCAGTATCATTATGATGCAGTGAGAATAAAAGAAGTCCATGTTTCTCTATTCTGCTCGCCCTTTATTGGTTGAATCTCCAGTGTACCCCATGGAATTCTGCACCTTTATCAGGAGGCTGATTCTAAATTCAGCTTGCACATTATCGATACATTTGACTTCCACATGTCATTTTGGTCACTCTATAGAGAGATCTTTTTTCAGGAAAAGCCTACAGTATGTTCTGGCTTCTGGGGTTACTTTTCACTAGCACACTATATAAACCAGTAAATACAGGCAAAAGTTCAGACAAGTTTTTGCTACAAGCTTGGGAAGTTCTAGCAGGAAACCTCTCACTTCCTGCTGTTTTCCTATATTTATAGTCTTACAAAGATATATGTCTAATAAAAAGTATTAATGTTTGACAAGGGGTAAAAGGTTTCCTAGTAACTATGAGTCACATGCTAGTATCAAGGATGAAGAGCTCAACTCCTCTCTAAATTTTGATTATCTGACCTATTATCACTGAAACAGCTGACAGGGCGCAATTAAGGCTTAAGAAGATTTCCATAGTTACAGAACTGTTTAGGCCTTAGATACTTTCAAAAGAAAATTTAAAATGCAGGTACATAATTTTTACCAGATCAGGGTCTGGACCCTAAACTGGATACTTTAGTTTTTGTTAGAAAATAATATATAGAAATATGCTCCATATACTGCAGTCTGAAGAAAAGACATACCTTTCTGGAAACATCTTCTGAGAGCTGTTTACACAGGGAATGTAACATTTTTCTGTCCTCCTCACCTTCCTCTTCACATTTATCCATGCTAGAGCATTGATGAGCACTGCCATTTTTCCTGGCAGAAGCATCCTCAAGCAATGACAACAAATGTTCACCATAGCCATTTAATCGAGCAACCTGTAAATGCAAAGCAGATTAACAGAATATTGAACTCAATTTCCGATAAATCACAAGCAAGACACAATATAGTTGGAAGATTCGTGCCTGTCCAAAAACAGACATATTGAACATAGATGTCAAAGATAGCATTTTTTCTTTTACTTTATTTGTAATTAGGACAGTTCTTTTGCAGTAACAATCTTACATATACCATAACTAAACTGTTTCTTTTTTTCTTAAAGCTTTTACTGAAATTCTGACTTACCTTGGAAGAAATAAATTCTTTTAGGGTACACAAAAGATCAGCATTTGTTGCAAAGTCTACACTGTAGCAGTCTTCAATCCAAGCCTGCAGGATGTAGAAACTGCGGTTACATATTTTGGTAAGTGATGTGGAAGGATCCAGGCTTGCACTGGTGAGAAGAAAAAGGCATTTATTTCACCAAAATTGATATCCAACTCCAATTTAAAAGTGTTGAAAACAACACAATTATTTGGTATTGACTGTACTATCTTAAATTCTTATGTTTCCTGTCTCTAGAATCCATGGCTGTATAGAAACAAAGCTGTGGTCATACTTGCAACCCATCACTGAACAAGTGGTAAAAATAAGACTCAGACTTCAGAAGATAAAAGAAGTAAGCACATTGTCAAATACAGTACTTGCTCTAGTTTCACTCTCAATTGTCAAGAGAGTCTTAGAAAAACAAACATCAAAATTCAATTAAATTAAGTAGTTCTTTTCAGAAACAGCTATTTGCCATTGGCGGGGGAAAGTCAATTGTGCTTTGATAAAATTTTTCACAGGAAATTACTGTACCTGGATAAAGTGCTGCTGATTCTATCAAGAAGAAACTGCAAAAATTCTTCTTGTGTGCAGAAATAACGAAACGTGTAGAGAAACTGCTGTACATAACCTTCTAAAAATGCATTTCTGTGAAGCACAAGAAAAACTTCAGACAAACAAGAACACGATTTCTTCTTGCATTTGAGTATGGCAACAGCAAAAAAAAAAATCCACAAAATATCAAGAATTAATAGGGATTAAATTCTCAAGCTTTACATAAAACCTTGATTTCTTTTTATTTTATTTTTACACATCAAATATTGTGATCAACAAAACTGAAAGCGTAATTTGTTTTTATAAAAAGTTTCTCTACTTGCAATTTTGTAAAGAACTACTTTGACATTTCTATTATTATCAAAAGTTACATTCTAAATAGTACGGAAGAACATATTTAATTTTCTTTTTTCTATCATCTCACTTGATGTTGTTTTAAAAGATTTTTTTTATTATAACAGCATAAAAAGTAGATACTTCAAGCAAGAAAATATTTCCTGTAGTTCTAATTAGAAAAGTAGTTGCTTTAACAATAGAATATACTTATTATACACACATTAAGAATGAGTGCATTTTCTTTTTTTATATATATACACACACATACATTCCAGGTCTTAACACAAGTTAATTGTCCTGTCTCCCTGATGGCTTACGGCTAACCATGACAGTTTGGGTTTGATGAATATGGAAGCTCCGATTACAAAACAATTTGTTCACTTTGTGCAAAATATTAACTACCAGGAAAAACAGCACTCAGGATAAGTAACTGGGTCTCAGAGTCAGGATGAGCTGGGAGAAGCAGCTGGGAGGAAGTTGCTCCCTCTACAGTGGCACAAGTCTGATGGAGTCTCTCAGGCAGTTTCCATCCTTCTTACTATTATGGCTCAGGTACCTTAAAACAACAGTGCCCTCACCCTAGCTGAAGGTTAAAGGACATCTTTGCCCCTATTTAAGCCCTGAGATAAGCCTGCATCTTGATCAGTCCCAAGGACTGGGTCAATAGCCTGTAATACAGAACCTATACTTTTTCACATCCAGATCCTATTAATAAGAATTATCAAATTATGTGTTCTGAAGAATTGCTATACTGCTGGTAGTAACATAGAGAGCCTTGGTTCCATGAAAATTGTCAGAGCAAAAACTCATATAAGTAAAGGATAAAAAAGTTTAAGGTTATTAGTTTTTGAGTTATTATCACATGCTTCAAGTTCTAATCAAATCCAAACTTAGCAGTTTTGGCTTATTTCTTATCAGACTGTCTTTTACCATTTCCATGCCCATTTCTGTAAATAAATGTTCATAGAAATAACATTAAACTTGATAGAAGAGAGGAGAATTTATGCAATGTTGAGCAACTAGGGTTTATCATGGAGACTATTTTTTCCTGAATTAGCCACTATGCCTCGACCCACTCCCAACTGAGGATGTGCAAAATATACTATACCTAGAATATAAATAAGCCATTAAACCAAGTGTTGTACCAGCCTGCAGAACTCTTATTCCATTTTGATTATTACATTGGTGTTTCTCTGTGTTATAGTAAAGAAGCAATGACGACTCATCTGTAGGTGCCACATCCATGGTGTCAGTTCTCCCGTTGTGAATGACTGTAGGCAGCATACAGGATTCCACACCCCACTGCTCTGCATACATGATCTGCTCAAAGATGCAAAGCCATGAAAAAATAAAATGTAGGAAAATAAAGAGGAAAATCCACACAAAATACAGTCAACTTAAAGCCAAACTGCATTTCATACAATTGCTTTTTTTCCTTTTTAAACAATACTAGTAGTGATTACCTTTGTTTTAATAATTCTTTTAGATCCTACCTCATTCGGTTCTTTGACACAAAACATTTCACATTTCATATGCTGCCTTGAGCAGCCAACTACACTGAAATGAGAAATGAAACAGAAGTAAAATAGTCTGACTTGCCTGCATGTATTTCTTCACTAGTTCAAGAAACTGCACTTTTGATTTCATCTCCTGTAGCTGTCCTCTCAATTTGGGCAACATAGATTTAGTTTCAGGACCTTTAGATTTAAAACACACAGCATAAGAACATCAATGATTCTGATTTACAGAAAAAATCCTTACAACTAGGCACCCATTTCATTACTGGCAAGTTACTGTAATCTTACCTTTGGTTCTTCTTTCTTTCTGCAATAGTTTCTGGTAAAACTTTATGGTCTTTCTGTAATTTTTTGTCTCCATCATTAACAATTGTTCTAGTTCCTATTTAAAGAGAAAAAGGATTCTGATCAGAACAGTAAATACAAGGTTCTAGCAGGAAACTGAAGTTTTAGAAGAGAATTATTTTGTATGAAATAAAGAACATCCAAACAGACAAGTATATGACATTAACCAGGAAAAACTACCTTTCATACCTGTGCTTACAGGCAAGTTACAGCAGGCATCACCTGTCCCCAGAAAAGCATTAGTTAAGTCACAGTTCTACAATTTAAGAACTCCAGCTGGTTTGTGTATGATGAGATCGCATTGAAGTTCGTCTGAATCCATTTATATAAATATGCCTTTAGTTATATCTAGTTGTTTTCAAAAGCATTTTTTAAAGTTACACTCAGAAGTCATCCAGAATTTAAAGTGATGGGTTTTGAAATTAGTGCAGATCCCAGAAATGCTCTTTTAAGCAGCTGACCTATATTTGCAGCAGGAACTGAATGTTTGACTGAAAGCAATGGTTTCCAAACAAGTATAATTACATTACATTATACAAACAGGTCAGAAGGCAGACAAGAGTGCTGCTCTATAATTAAAGAACATACCAATTTTGAAGTTCAGCTTACATATTTTATATTTATGCATTTTACATAATTGAAAAAATAAACTAAATTTCTATAGAATTATACAACTTAAGCAATGGATAGAAACAAAAGTATATTAGGCTTCTCAGAATAATATCAAATGTAATGTAAACATTTATATTTGTTTGCATATCAAAGGTTTCATTATTTTACAAGCCAATGAAAATGGGCCACCAATGAAAATGGGCCACCCACTTTGGGTTCAGCTTCTGATTTATTATGAAACAACAAACATGATGCGTGTTGTGTTTTATAAAAGTGGTGGCTCTTGCACTTGGGTCCTAAGCTAACTACCAGTGACCCAGTTACATGAAACAGCATTTCAAATGGAGTAAGTTTACTGCATGCAGACAGAACTCCCACAAGCAGAGTGATCACAAAACACATAGCTCAGAGCTAACATATCAAACAACAGATTGGTAAATAGGTTAGCTTTAATGGGATGGACTTACTAGAAATTAATTTGAGTTTGAGAAAAACCTGTCACTGTTTTTCAGAAAAGCTCAAAAGGTTTAACAACATAGTTCATTAGCAGCAAGAGTCACAAAAGCCCTCTGGAGTTTTAAAAGACTTACTGCTACATAGGCATCACACAGACCACAGCGAAAGCATAGAAAAGCCATTATTCAGATTCTGAATTGGAAACTGCTTGCTTTTACTTAAAGGTCTCTTTTTGTTTCATCAACTAAAGTGAAACTAAGTTGATTAAGAGACTATGAACACAGAAAGGGAATCAGGAAGATTGGCCATTTTCTGACATTTGGAATCTGATGGACAGAGGTGGTTTGTCCCCTAAATAACTTCAGGTGAGTAGCAATGAAGTCAGTAGCAAATTACCAGTCTATTCCACAACGTCTTTCATTTTAGGTAGGTCTAGAATATAAACATTTTTGATGAAGATGTACATTCAATTGTTCTGCCCCCTCTGAAGTACATTTAATTTGTCAGGACACTTTTCTATAGAACATCCCTTAGTCTATGAAATAAAGTAATGATAGAGTGACTTTGCTTACTTGGGAAAATTTCAAATTCCAATCTGTCCCTGAAGTATAAGTTTTTTACATGCTGAAGGGTGGTTCCACCAAAGGATGCAAAATATTGGCAGGAAGGAAAAGAGAAAAGGAATGGGAAAGGGAAAACTGTGGCCAGATATGCAAAACCTTTGCTAGAAACGTCCTAGTCACAGCTTGGGTGCACTGAACTTTAGTGGAGACTTACAAGCAGCTTATGAGATCTGGGGGATAACTGAAACCTAACGTGGACAAAGAGGAAAAGGGAAAAGGCTAAGGGTGAAGGCTTGTGGCTGCAAAAGAACTGAAGCCAGCTTACCAGACTACAGAAAAAAAGCTCTTCTCATTGTAAGGGCAGACTTGGACATCCCCCTGGAGAAACTGCAGCCCTAGTAGCTGCCTTTCCTTCTTGTTCTGCTGCAAGGACTTGGTCTGGTTTGCCTGGATGCACTCTGTATGAGGGTGCAAAATCAGCAGCTCCTGGACTAGATGGGATGTGAGGTAGGGGACATATACTTGCTTGCCTAAGGACTAACTTTTCTAAATGCAGATTAACATTTCCTGACCTTAAGAACTTCAATGAACCATCTGGTAAGCACCTACACATTAATTATTTTTATGACATCTGAAAGTGTCACCTTGATCCATAAATATTTTATTTTTTTATGGTAGCTATTTCAGATTCCTTCCAAACATAACAGTACATATTAACATTTTTCTTTGAATCATAATAGTTTGATTAATCCTATTGTTAATATTGTTCATCATATAACAAATGTTTTACTTTTTGAAGCTTATTAAATCACAACCTATCTAAGGTGCAGACAAGATCCAACAGCTTCCAGTAAAAATAGAAGACTTCATAATTTTTATGGCAGAATATTTAATTCTCTCATAAATATATGTTCTGGCACTCAGAGTTTCTCAGAACCTGCATGTTCTCAAACAGGTATACAAAATTAAAAAAAAAAAACAGAATAAATTTGATTGCATTTAGTTTCAGAAGGTGAATAAATAAACATTTGAATCATATAAGTATTTTCATTGGAGACATAAATATATTAATGAGATGTATATGTCTCCAAAACTGTAATTTGTTACATGGCTAGACTCTCATTCAGTTCTCAGTTCTAGTTGCAGACTAGACTTGAACTGACCAAGCAGACCTATCCCTGTGAAAGGGTAGTGGCACTAAGTTAGGACAAATGTGGTCAAGCTGAAATGTCTAACTATCTTTAAACATTCACTCTTTGAAATAGCAACTCCTAAACTCTGCCTTAGCACATTTTACCACAAAGTTGTAGAATCAGTTCAACTTTATTGTTGACTTTTTGAAAAAAATCTATCAGAGACCTGGGGCAAAAAGCAGATTAAGATAATCCTTGCCATACAATGAAAACTAGACTACAGTTAATCAAGCAACTGTTTTCTGAAATAAAACTGCTTAACAGATGATTTAAACAAGAAAGGATAGGATGGAGACAAACAGCTCTATCTTGCAAGAGAGGCAGAACTTTCCTCCAGCAACTCAAACCACCTTCCTGCTCAAAACAGCCACTTACAAACCCTCCTTTGGACTTTGTAGTCCTTCTGGACTGGATATGGGACACGTGTTTTCTGCACTAAATTTTACAGTGAGAAGTTGGCAACTAGAATAATTAACTTTTTGGCAGAAAACCCATGTTAATTTTCAAATTGAGACTATTCTATTTTCTCAGTATTTTGGTTCAGACAGTGCATCATTCCCTTGAAATTCGCACAGCTTTTATTCATTGTTTACACCTTAACAGTGTTAACACTTCATAAATGTCAATAATTAATGACCACATTTATTTTCTAAATAACATGTAGTCCAAGTATAACATGTATAAATGTTCATATTATCAACTAAAACTAGCTGAAAACGCTGTGCTGTACAAATACAGCTGTTGGCTACATCCAAGTACAACAATACACAAGGACTTATAAATGTTAAATCCCACCCCTATCAACGGTACCAGCAACATCCATATTGTTAAAAATAAGAGATGAACTAGTCTTTGTCAGCTGTTGGTATGGAGATTAAAATAATGCTATACATTTTCACAGTTGATTTGTAGTGTTTGGTTTGATGAATCAGGCAGCAAAGAGACAGCAGAAAGAAGCTGGGTAGAGCTGCTTATCACTACATGTTGATAATTGATTGTCTTACAGCTAAGAATCACTGTCTCCTGACTGCAGCAATAGCAGAAAAAATAAGTTTCGTATTTTTTTCCTGTCTTTCTTATACATATTGACTAGTTAAAACTTGTAACAGTTCATCTCATTTCAACAATATTGCTAATAGTTTATTTCAGAAATTGTCATGACTGATAGAATTTGGAAAAATAGCCGGATTTTAGGAAGGTTTTCTTTGCTCAGGTTAAATGTTCAAGATTGCTGCAATTACAGCATTATGATTCTGTAAATTTTTATTTTAAACACATTTGGAAGAAGCTGGGTTTCACAGAAAGTCAGTGTTGTAGTAATGCCAGGAGAAAGATGGAAGTTGTTGATTCTATGGTAGTGAAAGAAAGAAAAATAGTCACAAAACCAAAAAAGTAACAGATATTTTAAAGTATCTTCTGTTGAATTCGTAGTAACAAGACACTTAAAAAGCACTTTCAATAAAAAAAGAACATTTAATACATAATTAAATTTATTTTTAAGATTATATACCTGAATATTCTAGTATACCAAGACTTTTTTATATAAACAGTACAACAGATAGCATATGTATCTGCACACACATGCTTTTCAGTGAAAATTAACTTTTTTTCTGCAATGCATTCAAAGCATTTCTATGCTGTACAAGAGTAGTTAATCTTCTGTTCTTCTTCTCTGAAGAAAATGCTGGAATGTAAACTGAATTTGACTTCATAATTGAAGATGACAGTTTATAATTGTATTCCTTGCAACTTGGACACAAAGGGATCTCACAAATTAGCAAGACTATTTATATAAGATACCAAGCTTCTATTGGCTGCAAGTAATTATTTTATTCTTGTTTGTCCACCTGGCCTCATATGCAGTCCAGATCACCTACATTATTTCTGCATTGCTGAGATAGGATAAGATCAGTCTAACTTTTGTCCAGCTATTAAGATTTCACACTAATTTTAGATAACATAAGGAAGACTAGTTTGGTTATCCTCAGAGTAGTATGCATTTTTTCAGTTATTGGAATGTGTGTTCTCTTGCTCTCTAAATCAATTGTTTACTAATTGCTAAACTGAACGAATTGCACTTTGTATCAATAGTAATCTTCTTCCAGTGGAATGTACTAGGCACAAATACAATATAATTTTCTACAGAGATACCTCACAACTACTTTCCCCCAAGCCTCCTGTATGGTTGCTGGGTTAGCCAAGTTCTTATGCATTAATGCATTTAGGAGCAATGTACAATAGTATGCATTAATTTCATAAGCTAATTCCAAAGAAGACTGTAAGCACCATAAATCTTGCTTCATTTTTGTTGTATGCCTGTTAAATAGGGAAAACAATTGCCAGGAACTCAGAAGATAATTAATCCTTTTGAATCAAAGTAAATTGCCAAGTAGTCTGTAAAATCTCAAAGTAAAAAAGACTGCCTGTTGAAACAGAAAAATCTATTTAGATGCCTATGAAAACTCCTTACTCGTGAAAATCTGTTCTTCAGTCAAGAATTACTCCTTCACATAAGGGAGATTATGCAAACCCATTTTTATCTAGCTGGCATGCTTACAGAGGATTAATCAGCCCTACAGGATTAGAAATAGGAATTGTCGAATAGATGGAAACTCCTGAGAGTGACAGTCCTGAAAACTTGTTTTTTAAAAAAAAAAAATTATTTATTTATTTTTACACAAACCAATAGTTTCTTATGCTATTTTCTCCTGTTGACTTACACATGAACATTAAGGAGAAATAAAAAAGTAGAACATCCTCAGTGATTCAGGCTTTAACTTGCCTAGTAACAGAAAAATAGTTACTTTTTTTTTTACTGAAAACTGAAGTGAGGTCATAGTGCTTCAAAGGAAAAGAATGTAAATAGATCCACTGGGATTTAAACTAGCTATCTGAAAACAAGTCTAGATTGTGCTGTCAGCTGTTCACTTCTACTTTGTCAAGCTCACTTAAAAAATAAAGCAACAAATTCAACTAACTGCCCATAGGAAGAAAATCCACAAGAGCAGTGTGAT